CGGGAAACGCATTTTATTAATTTAGCTTCAACGACAGCGGCACACCCCATTCGACTCAAGGGAGTCTTTCTGGGACAGCGAGTAGCACCTAGTAGGTAACCACCTTGCGGAGAAACGTTAAGGCGTTGTAAGAAGTTTAACAGATGTGAACCCTTTCATATAAAAACAGGCATTAAAATGGATTTCCAAGACCTGCCATCCCTGCCTTTCACTTCTGCAGGCTTTCTCGTAAAGGTACGTTTCAACCCACTGAGGGATTGAATCGCCCGCACCCCAGAGAGCTGAAAAACGGGGAGCAAGACGACAAGCTAAAGTGCACTAGCGTTGCAGATGACCGTGTCCCTCAGAACAACGCTTGATCTCAGTACTGGCATCAAATAGACTAAACATTCATTAACAGGAAAATATTTTGAATTTTATTTTTTCACGTTATTATCAAGTACACAATTACAATAATGTCACACATCCCTATATGATTCTATGTATTTTGTTTTTTTCTTTTGTCTTTTTTACAAAGTGTACAGAGGGAAGGACGTATACAATATTTAACAGGGTATTTTCTACAGAACAATAATTTATATTATGTCCTTGTAAAAATCTGTACCTTTTTTAAACATTAAACTGAAACATCCATTTTATAGCATTTGCTAAGCAAATTATTTAAGAATTAAAACTAACCTGTAACTAATGTCAGTACATTAACAATAACTATAATTTCATTTTCTCTTTATACAGACAAATACATTTTACAAAATCCACTTGACCAAACCCTTAATTATTAAAAAAAAAAGTTTCAACATTGTGCTTTAAAAAAAAAAAAAAAAAAGTGTGTATGATTCCAGGCTACGCAAGAGAAAGAAAAATGTGTAAAATTGTGTTCTTTGTCTTTCAGCTTATTTAAAAAAATAAAGTTCAAAATGGCTAAAATCCTCGGCAATGCTATGGGAATTTATGCAGATTCTGTACACTTTTCAGGTTTCCAGTTAGAAAATGCTTGAACGTTAAGACGCGAATGGAAAATCTCTACTGGGTTTTACTGCATCTGATTTGGCAGTCAGTAGGCAACAGACAGACAGCTACGGCCATGTAGGAAATCCACGGCCTTCACCGGGGATTTCAACGAAGGCACAGTGCAGCACATCTAGGTATTACACACTAAAGGTTCACGGCCCGTTAGTAGCAATACTGTACAAGAGCGCGCTGGAGAAGTCTGGGGGCACTGTCAAGCAGGCATCGAAAGAAAAAACCCTTACACAATAAAGGTAGCGACATGGCATTCGACTCTCCTGACCTGGAAATTGAACGCAAGTATTTCGGCTTACAGTGAAACAGAGGGGCTGAGTGAGCAGCAGGAGCAGGGCTCGCTAACAAAACAAAGTACGCAAGGCCTAGAAGATGCACGTCTGAAAGGAAACCTTCGTCCCTTTATCACCCCCAACCTGAAATCATCACTGAAGCTCCCGCTCGGTTTCAATAGGCAGTTTGCCTGCCTGGAAACGAGAGCCGCCACCGGGCCGGGCTCTGAACCTCCTCCATTAGTGAGCTGCCGGTTACAGATCTATCCTAAGCTGGCAGGCAGCCGGGTCCGAATTCTGCAATCCATCCTCAACCAGCGGCTTCGGCGGGAATTTCAGCAAGGGGGGCGGGGCCGGGGCCTAAAATCTGGCACATAATTGAACGGTTTGGGGTTTTTTGCTCCACGGTCGTTGTTAAGGTACGTGACTTCGTGCTTGGTGTATTTATGCTGCAATTAGCAAATGATATGGCGCTATGTTATAGTAGTCTTCAGGTGGCAAAACTGCATATAATAATTGTCATGTTCTCCCAGCTGTTTATGAACAGATTAGAAGAACTGGGTTAATTCTGGATGCTGTACTGATTAATAAACAGCAGCTTAACACGGCCGCTAATGGCTCAGGAAAAACATTCGATTTAGAAACAGTCCTGTTACGATCGTAAGTTACTTTTCTTCTTAAGGATATCTACATTAAAACACCTCTACTCCTTATGAACGCATCTGCTCCACTCCGTCCCCCTCTGAAGCTCTCACTGTATCTCGTTTCCAAAATCGAGGCACCTCTTGGTCTTAAATTTTGTTCTAAAACAACTCACAATAAAAAAGTGACTTGAACCACAAACCGTTCTTTCAAAGAAATACCAACACACACAAAAGCATTAAAGTTTGAGGTACGTTTACCGGCACGTACAGACAGTTGTGATCTATTAACTCTGCAAACGGAACAACAGTATTTTATGTTTCCAACATCAAGACAGCAGTAAATTGAAAAAAGCCCAACTCATTTTGTAACAGGCAAACCCTTTCAAAGACAAAGCAGCACAGAACAATAAACATACTATTTGAGCATACTCTTAAATTCGCCGAAGAAAGGTAACAAATGCCCCAAACCACTTTTTAAAAAATGTTTCTCTCTGAAACCTGAATTAAAACGCAGAATAGTTTTCCGCAATAAAGAATGTGTAACTCAGATGTGTAACTCCTCGAATGGAAAACAGTTAACCTGCCACAAAGCCTGCATAGTCAGAACAAGACAGTCAGGTGGGCCCTAGTGACTTTATCTTCAGCATCACAATTCCCCATTTTATACACACCTCTGACAATTTTAGCAAGAGAAAAGTCATAGTTTTAAAACTCACGACAAAACTGCATTAACATGGACACTGTGAGTATCAACGAGGTCAGTAAGATAAATATACTTAAATAAACTATTACGGTTGAAAAATTCAGTAAGAGACAGGGTTTACTTTATTAAATGCAACTTTATTGTTGCCATCTTTTCTTCATTTATTAAACAAACTGAACAGAATTCAGAACACGCTATTGAACAAAAGGTATAAAAGTCAACTAGAAGCAATAATCCTATTTTTATACAGCAACAAATCAAATGCACAGTATGTTTTTTTTGTTGTTTTTTTGTGTGTGATCGCAGGTGATTGGCTTTAAAATAAGCTAACTGCCCGAAAGGCAAAATTCCTTTATAATTCCAGCCGCAAGTCTGTGAAAGAGACTTTAAGGCAGCCCAACATCTTTATGATGCCGCATAATGTGCTGGTTCTTCTCTGAAGGCCTTCGGAAACCCTTCTTGCAATACTCACAACGGTGAGGGTAGTCTTTTGTATGAATGGAAATAACATGCCGTTTGAAGCCTGAGGCGTCTGTAGTGCTATACTCACAGTACTCACATTGATAAACTTTCCTGCCGCTGTGTGTTTTCATGTGTTTTTTCAGCTCGTTTTGTTGCCTAAAGCCCTTTCTACATCTCTTGCACCTGAACGGAAGATCCTTTGTGTGAACTGAGAGTATGTGGCGACTCAGAATGAACGGATCTGCAATCTTAAAGTCACAATGTCTGCACTGGTGCAACTTTTTACCCTTGTGAGCCGCCACGTGTTTTTTCAGTTCCGAAGGCCTATGAAAGCCTTTATCACACATATCACACTTGTGAGGATAGTCTTTCGTGTGGACTGAAATTATGTGTCGTTTCAGATCACTCGAGTTTGAGCTCTTATGGTCACAATGCAAACACTGATGTGTTTTACTTTCTTGATGCATAAGCGTATGCTGCTGTAGCTCTTTGGTATCTGAAAAAGTCTGGAAACAAATATCGCACTTGAATGGCGTTTCCTTACTGTGTTTAGTCTTTACGTGAGTTTTCAAGTTAGAAGAGTCGGCAGATCGGTATTCACAATATTGGCACTGGTACGGTTTTTCACCAGTGTGGATTCGCATGTGCTTCTTGAGCTCTGACGGATGGCGAAATCCTTTGCCACACTCCACGCAAATGTGAGGAAAGTTCTTGCTGTGGACAGCTAAAAGGTGATGACTCAGTAATCCTTGTTCTGCTGTCTCATAATCGCAGAATTTGCACTTGTGCGTTTTATTAACTCCTTTGTCCCTGTGCACCATCTTGTGAGTAAATAAAGTTCCTGCGTGAGAGAAGCTTTTCCCACACTCATCGCACTCAATAAGCTTTTCTGTTTTGTTGGTCAGCTTATGACTCTCCAAGTGGTTATGTAAACTTATTTTTTTATTCGTAGTGTAATCACAGTCTGTGCATCTGTATTTTTTCTTAGTAAGAAGGTGCTCCGGGTGGTTTTTCATGTGCCTTTTCAAGAAACCTCTAGATTTAAATTTCTTTCCACAGATCATGCAGGGGTAGACTGTCAACGGATGACCATCGGGGCCAATGATTATTGCTGAAAAACAACAAAAAACTCTTCCTCAATATTACACAGCAATATTACCCTTCGATACATGTCGTATTTCAACCTGAACAATAAGCTGAATTGTTAAGTCAGATCAGAGTCAGACACATACACTATACTACATAATAAACAAGCTTGTACTGGGTTTGTAGAAGAAACTGAGGGAATTACTACTTTCATTCATTATTATTGTCAGGCGAAAGGAAATACTGCTTTTCAATGCAGACAACCAAAGCGTCACCCAGCTGTTCTTCACCCCAAGTCATTCTACTTCGAAGAATTCTGACCGAGTTCACGCATTAAACCCAGGCAGAAACCGACGCTGGTGCAAAGAACAGCAGCCAACTTGTTAAACTGAGTATTACACAGTAAGCGTAATAGCACATGATCTTCTCTGACTTTCCATGAATCTGTAGATGAAGTTTAGTCTGGCAGTGTAATCACCTACCGCTGACTACAATTCTCATGTCCCCAAACTAACACCTCCTTCTTGTGCCATCTGTCACAGTTACAGTCTGAAGAGGTATCAAGCGGGAATCAATGAGAACACATTTCACATACGGACACCTCAAAGCTTTGGAACTTATTTGCACTCATCCGTCGGCCTGATTTGTTTACCCTGAATTTGTCTGGGCATGCTAAAAAGCTCTCTTTTCCAAAAATGTTTTGGAAGGAGGACTGACTAGGTAGCTGGAAACAGAAAAAGCAAACCTTAAGATTAAAATTTGCCTGGTTTACTAATTCAGCGCTAGACCAAACAGAAGTCCTACAGTTAAGTCACAATCTGGAAAGAAACTTCTAGTATCATTTAAGGTAAGGCTACTAAAGACAACAGTCATGTGCTTTTTCAACTTCATCAGACCAAATAAATCATTCAGACCGTAACACAGTTAACAGCAGAAACCAAATAATGCCGAAACAGCGCATCTGTTCTTACAGATGCAAGTAAGAACATCGGCGTGAACATCAAGGCAATTGATTTCACATTAAAACAGAGAAGGGTATAGAAGTTACACTACCTACTGTAACATAGAATGTTCAGATTTTCCAGTTACTTATTGAGCTGATAGAATGAAATGTATTGTTCCGTGTATTTTCAATAAAGACAAAAAGGGGTTTTAAAAAGTACTATTACAGAACACTGTTTACCTAACATCATCTTTAAAAAAGTTACATTAAACATTAAAATTGGTGTGGCAAGTTAAGTATATAGGTTTTTAACCTTTTGCTACGATACCGATTTTTTCTACGTCAGAGACGGTTTCCTTTAAAACACCCCCACAATCCAAACCAGCTATATATTTAGAAACTTTAAAATAAAATATGCACTCATTTATGACGTAGAAGCGTTGTCAACAAAATAATTCCCAAAATAATCACTGTTTTTTAGAAGACACTGCACACCCTACCAGCAAAGTATATCTGTTTGTGGGTAAGTGCCTAGAGGAATGAGAGTACAGCCAGCCACCAGATACTCACCCGTTTGATACTGCCTGGACTCAGGTCTCCTTTTTTTCTTTGGTTTTTGCTTAGCCAGTCTCCCAAGTCCAGCTGACTCATCTATGTGCAAAAGAGCACTTGCAGTGCCGTTCCGACTTTCAATGCCATCATTATTATTACCTAGCAAGATAAGTTAAAAAGTTACCTACCGTCATCACTCTACAGATTATTCGAGCAACAAACTCTACAATGATAATAAAAGAAATTATAAACTGTTATCTGGACATTTAATCAAACCATAATAATGTACAGGATGAGCTCCAAAACTTCTCTGTATGTAACTTACGAATTATGTTTGGTATTATGAACCTGGAAGCATTGGCTTTGTTAAACTCCTTTTATAGGAGTACACAATTTACAGGAATTAATTGTTTCCCATTTCACAAAGAGTTTTTCTTTAAATGCAGTATTTTTTGCATTTCTTTTGTTGCTAATTATGCCTAAAATATTTAACATCGGTAAACAATAGCATGTCACAATATTTACTGTGCCCCATTTTCTTCTCAGTCCTGAAATACATTCATGTGTGAGCTCCCATTCACTTCTGGACATCTGAATTCACCTGACTGAAGTTTCTCACACACCAAGTTTCAGAACTGGAACGATCAAAGAATCGTTCTGAACAGCCCATGAACTTGCACACAAAGTACACTACTTACTATTTGCACACCTGATGCTTTAACACTTACAAATTCTTTCTACTGGGAACAAAGAGCATGCTCAGTATTGTATAATAGAAAGAAGGAAACAACCTTTGCCTCATAGAGCTTCGTGTTTAATACACAAATGGTATCGCTGTATGCAAAACAAACATGAAAATTACAAGTAAATATATCTATATATTTGGGAAGGTATTTATTGGCAATCAGTTTAACATTGACGATTCAAGGGCATAAGTAAATTTTAATAATAAATTTTGTGGTTAAGTGTTTACTTGAATCAATAGAAGGCAACAGTTCCTAGTGAAAGCAAAGCACACAAATCAGACAGGAAGACTGAAGCGGAAGAAAGCGCAAGATGCTCAATAGCTGTTCCCTTTGTAGAGTGCCGAGAACGAATATTCACGATTAATATAAGAAGACCCAGAGCCAGGAACAGGCATGTGCGGAGCCTGAAGATTCTGATCTATATGCTAGCTCAAGTGTTGAACAACAAATGTGACAAGCGACAAACGCTGAAAACAAAAACCCATTTCACATCTTACACGTAAAAAGTTTGCAACAGGTGCATGAAGAGTCCTTCTAGAGTACAACACAGAACAGGCCTCAAACATTTTCTAATACTAGAATAAAATTGCAAAAACTTTCTGGAATGTAAAGCACAGCGGGACTGGGCTTTGTTACAATACAGCAACAAAACAAATCTAACATTTTAAGATGCCATTGTTATCAGCTCTTAAACCGTCTTTAAGTGGAGAAGAGTTCTGAGAAGTGCAGATGACAAACCTCTGCCGTTTTCATGCCTTCATACGTCATTATTTCTTCCCTTTCCCACCACCTCTCACCTTGCATGTTAGGTTGCTTACTGCCGAGAATGCAATGACTCCACTGTTTCCCACATTCTTAAATTCTCCTTTCAATTCCCTCTCTCTGTTCTTAATACACTCTGCTCAATTTTCTCCTCCTCCAAAATCACTGAATGTTCAGTCTACAACTGTTGTTTCGAGTTCACTTAATTTCAGTTTTAATTCCCACTCACCCTGCCTTCTGTCCTTTCCTCTTCACTGAAACTGTGGTCACCAGCATATGGCCAAAGATGAGGCCCTGGGTGCACTACTGTCCATCTCCTAAGCAACTTTTAACACACGCTGCTCCCTGAAATCTTGCCCTTCCTTGACTTAGGTTCGTAATTCCAGCCCCCATCGCATTCTCAGCACTGCCCTGCCATTTGTCTGCTGGCACCATCACCGCAATCCACATTATGCAGACATATAACCTAAGTTTTCTCCTCTACTCCACTATTCTTCTGCGTCATTTACTCAAAGTACATTTAGAAGGAGAACAGGGCAATACATAAACATTTCTAAGATGAGATTTTGGTCTACCAGCTTCTATAAGTTTTGGAAATCAGTTTGAGCACCAGTTGGTGCTCAGATACTAACATTCAAGAAACATGGTTCTGCATGTTGGAAATATTCTCAAGGTTCTGCTATAATTTAAAGATGTCTCCCTCCAGCTTCTTTTTTGTTAATCGATTAATTATTTCCACTGGTGAAATCACATATTTATATGTTCCTTCTAGAAAGCATTTCAATCAAGCTAGAGGTCAGTGTTGCTTTTCACTGCTAAACTGAATCTTACATATTCCCATCTTCTTCCCCCCCCCCCCCCCCCCACAAAACACCCCCCCCCCCCCCCTCCCAGAATAAAAATATTCAGTTCTATTCCCAAGCCAGCTCTTACTGTGTCCTAAAACTGTGAAGGACAGATGTACTTGAGATGCAATTTTTCAGTTGAAAGCTCGTGTACCTCCCCCTCCTACATCATGAAAATATGAAGGAAAATGCCTGTTAAAATAGGAATAAGAAGAAGCCTGCCTTACAGCTTCTCTCCTCTTTTTAAATTTAAGGTTCATTATGCCAAGAAACCATTCTTAAACTAAAACTTTAAAAAAAACCACAAAAGCACAAATACTCCACTACCCTCCAAAAAACAATCCTCAATGTTTTGCTATACACAGTATCACCAGGAAGAATTCTTTGAGTATTACCTACCATAAGCTGCTGCCCAAGCTATAGGCATGAAAGTTTTAATTTCAGTGTCATCAATTTGCTGTTCGTGGGCCACTGCTGCATCCTCCTCTCCTACAATCACTTCCATATAAACCTCATCAGCTATTTCTGCAACATCTAAGAGAAAAAGAAGTCAAGAAAAAATTAATAGGAACACTGCACTGTTGAAAGTGAAAATCCCTGTTCCCAAATGAAAGCCACCTACTTACTTAAGTCTTCATCTTCGTGCTGAGAATCATTTACAGTCATGTAAACCATTTTCTCCCTTGGAATACGAATACTGCTATTCTGATCAAGTAATCCAACTGCGTGGTCATTCTCTGGCTCGCTCTCCACAATGTCTACTGTGCCCCCTAATTAGGAAGACCAGAGCAAAATATTTTAAATATACTTTGTTTAAATTCTATGCTAAACCACAGAAAACTGAAAGTTTGTCACTCTTTAACATTAGACCCACAGCTCTTCACAGATGACTTGAGAGAAACCACAGTCTCTAATTATGCAAAATTTCAAATGTCAGACTGGAGTATTCTAAAATGAGCGTATTTTACCTAAATCATCTTCTCCAGGATCTGCTTTGAATATATAGACCTTGATGACTTCCGGACAAATGCCATCCACTTTACAAGAGCCACTTTCTGACTCTGCTTCCATGGTAATTTCAGCAGAACCTTCGTGTTCTATCTTACCAGCATCATCCACTACAAAAACAAGTTATTACAATTATCCGGTCATATACAGACAGACATATATGAAAGACTTTATTACTTTATTCCTCAAAATTGGAAGCAGTTTAAAATTACGTTGTGATAAAGAACCTACCCATACATACTTTTTTCATATCCTTGAAAACAACGACAACAAACACAGAAATACATTCAAGCCACGTCTTCTAGTTAAGGGGGAAGTGTAAGAGTGCTGCAGTGGTATGTCTAATGCATGAGCACCACACCAGGCAATGCTAATAGGGAAATAGTGATCTGCAGCAAGATGATGGTAGGAAGAAACTGCACATTAGTACTTACTCTGTGGCATAATTTCACTTATTCTCAGTTTTAATTGCTTTCTCTTTCACAACTAATAAGCTATTAACCGTTTTTTTCAAAAGCATTATCTGTTGCTCAACCCTGTCTCTAACGCAAGCCAGTCAGACCTGGTTCCTTACAAAGCGGTGTTATTGATGCTTCTTCAGCTGACTAGAGAGGAAACCTAAATGAAAAACTACAGGAAGAAACCCCTCTGCTTTTCTCATCCATGCAACAGCTGAGGGATTGAGCACAGTGTCAAAGTGCTGCCCTGATGCTACAGCACTGGTGAACCTATTAAACTGATTGTTCATGATGCTCTTACTGAAAGGGACTTGCGCTGTAGCCCTATATACTCTCCTTACTATCGCCTCAAATTTTGCTCTCTTCCTTTCAGAAGTGCACCGACACCACGCTTCACTTTGAATTGCTGTAACTTGCCTAGGCCTCCCACATAAACGTGGCTAACAGCCAGCTTTATGAGGAACACATTTCTGATTTTTAAGACATACTCTACATAGGCACGCACACGCTCACACCATCTTACTTTACCAAGCGTGGGTTTTCAAGGAATAAATACTAAATATGCATTCACAAAAATCAAATCCAGCATCTCAAGACCTTCAGAGAATCTCCCGACCTCAGAAGCCTCAGAAGTTTCTCGAGTGTTGAGATTATTTAAGAATTCTTAACATGATGGCATGCTTTTGTAATTTGTGACTTTATTGTCGATAAAGTAACTTTTGGAGGCTGACATGGCTCCCTCAGAGCCATGCGTAACTTCAATTCATGACAACAAGACATGAAATTTATACTAAAAGAAGCGTAAGAACCATCCCATAAATGCTGTAGAATTTTTAACTACCATGCCTAGCACATACAAAACACTTAATGAAGTATGCTGATTTCACTGGCACTCATTAAACTACCCTCATAACTAAATCATAGCTTTAGTACTCAGTAACTGCAACTCTTCAATTTACTTTAAGATCTACTTACAAAAAAAAAAGCTCAAAACATTACTATTATTTTCCTGCCAAAAAGTCAATACATTAGCCTTTAAATTAGATAAACTAGCACGTGTTCTGTCTCATACATAACTTTAAATGATGAAGCACTAAAATAAATTAGTCTATCTCTCTCCTCACCAAAAGAGCAGCAGAAAAAACATTACATACTCTTATGGCAAGTTCATGATCAATGGCCACCGTACAGAATGTTTCAAGCAGCGTGATGTTTAAAAAATTATTTTGTGCCACGGGACAACATAACATCTCATAGCTGAAACCCCAAAGCATTTTAAAAGTAAAAACATTAAGATGTTCTTTTGAATCATGTTAACAACGTAGCTCCACAGTATGTATACTGTTATTGAGCAGACTTTCATAAATTCTTTGGCATATGCATGAAACACCAAACGTCACTGGAACTCTGACAAAAAGAAAACTCGCTTTCGTTCCTACACTAGATTTATGTAGTTGTTCTCCTTTAACTTGGCTGTTTCCAGTGTCACGCACATGTACTTGGAAGGCTTTCAAATCAGCGTAGACTGATTTTACACTGCTGAAGCCAAAGGGGAAGTCTGCCACCAAGCTCAACTGATGCTGGAACATACTCAAGGAAGGAAAATTATGGCTGAAGCAATCAAAGATAAAACAAACCTACGTGCGCCATGTGAAACACGCTGGTTTCTTTTAACCAAAACAGAGTTTTTTACTTCCATACATATATGGAAGTATCCACTGATAACATTCACACAACAGAAGAATTCTAGATCTTAAAAATACGCTCCATTCACTCCTTGAAATAAGTTCTCCAAGGTTCAAAGTCATCTTTTAAACAACATGATTTTAAAAAATCGTTATGTAATTTAGAGTTTGTTTATCCCCGATTTCCCTCTATGTTCAACAGGGTTATCAAAATGTAACAACTGGTTTAAATATTTTTTTTACAGCACCATTAAACTGTAAGGAAATTGTTGTGTAGGAGTATTAGGCCAACTTTTCTCATCCAAAAGGGAAAAATTTCACTCGACAGGTGGTCGACTTGAAAAACTGAAGTCCCTGAAGGGCTTGAGAAGTAATAGCATTTGCAGTATAGTAGCAAAGAGGTAACAGGAAGAAAAGTAGGATGGAAAGAAAAGGTAGGAAAAAAGATAAAAATCAGAAGAAGAGACAAACAAGGCAAAAGAGAATGGGTATCTATCACACAAAGCACCATTTCCGTGTTATTTTGTCCTATGGCTACATAAGCATTTATCTATACCGATTCATTGATGCTCCGGCAGCATTTATGAAATTTTATTTCTGTTTAACACTTTCCCTATGTTTCTGCATTCTCCATGTATCTCAGTCTCACAATCAAGAAAAAATGATATTCATAACTACTTGACCGATCAATGTTTGAAGTTGGAACTCTGATGATGTTTGAATTTTTCATTCAAATTCACAGCCCATCAAGCGATCCCACAAATACCGTGCATGACTGATCTTCTCTCGCATTGTTCCTCTTTGAAATTACAAAAAAAACCCACCCCAAAAGTACTTAAAAGTATTAGTTAAGCTTATAAGAGGCCACTTCCTTTCAAGTAGAGATGCTGGGCAGTTACTAAACTAATCACAAGTCACATGCTAGAAGAAAAATCAGACTAGCATATTCCAGTGCTGTCATACCTTGTGCCTCCATTTAAATAGATATTAACTGAACACCAAAAACTTTAAATGTGTGATTCCCCCCCCCCCCCCACTAGCTGGTAGCTTTACTTCAGTAAACAAGTGGATTCAGACTAATTCTCCAAGTTAAAAAAAAAAGAGAGAAGAAGTATTAGACACAACATTGTTTTATGGAAAGTAAATTGCAAGAATGCATTCTACGGTTAGTTTGCTGACATTCTTCAGACCTCACTGATTAGAGGAGCCTGCTCATACCATGAGCTGCAAGAAACAACTAAAAACATGTATGCGCTTCTCCAATGTTGCAATAATTGCTTCCATACAAAGATGCCTGAATTTTTATTAAAAGCACAAACAGATGAGAAAGCTGTCACACAACATGAAAGACGTGCCATATTTAAAGCCTGTCTAGTTATCATTTACATTACAAGGAAATCAACAAAAAGAGACCAACAGATAAGAAAAGGAATAGAGAGTAAAGCAAAGAAATAAAAGATGCAGGCAACATTAACAACAGTGTTTGTTTAATATGTGTTCTATCACGATGACAGCACATTTGTCTCCTAGAAAATATTACATCTAATTAAAAAAATCATATAATGTCATAAACTATAATGTCCAACCAATAATTATCTCCTACATCTTTACCCTCCTATTACAATACGTCCAATGGCATTTTTGGGACAGAAACAAGCTCCTGTGCATTGGTAATAAAAACAGTATTTAAAACCCAGCTGAGGCCTGTTTCCCCACATAGTAGCATAAATGCTAGCCTGAGATCCTGCATACTGCATTTGCTTAAATGGTACATCTTTTGTTTAACCATGACACATACACTTTGCCCAATAAGTTGTTTTTAGGGTTTTGTTTTTAATATTTAATGGATCAGATTTTGTAGCCTTGCAGTCTTTTACTCCTAACTAGAAAAATGCAAATATCTGTAACTGTCTGTATTTTTTTAATGGTTTCCATAAGCTTTTACATTTATTCTTTCCTACCATTTCTCCTCTATATGGGATTAATGAGGAAAATAAAAGGATTGTAAAAGATAAAATTCACTTAAGGACTAAGAAACCTTCTACCTTTTTCAAGTACACACCGCTCATTGCTAAATAACACACCAAAACAATTCTTAGAAACATTCCAAGAAGAAGTTTGTCTCTACACCAGTTTAACAGATCTTAAAATCTGTCTATGGAGCAATTAGATGAGAATCATCGTTTTGTCAGCCTTTATGTTCCCAAACAATTCTCTTCGTTGCTAAAGAAATGCGTATCATGGGATACTTGCCTGCTTACAAAATAAACAACCCTATTTAACCATTCTTAATGAAAAAGGCCACTGCTAACTATTCTGTTTTCTCTAAAATAAATTAAAAGCATGCTGTATTCCCCAGACAGAATTTGTTCAGTTATCTGCGATAGAAACATTTTACTCGTACTTCACGTGATAGCAGAGAATTCCTAGTCCACTGAAGAAGTTATTTTTACCATCCAGTTATTTCTTAAATGGCAAAGCAGGTTTCCTAACCTGTGAGAAAATAGAAATGTTCTATTTTGATTTTAATGCCATTGCTATTATACATGAGCAACAGTATACTCTATGCATCTGAAGCTCCCCTCAGGGCAGCAATCTAGCAGAGAAGAACTTCCTGAGCTCCAAACTGGTATCTAACACTTGTCCTTCTCATCCTGCTCTCCCCAGCACAGAAATCAGACCAAGCTCTGAGGCATCACTCAGCCCAAGGGAACTCTCACCTCCCTCACCTCTCATGGTGACCTCCTGAGCAGCCTCAGCTGCAACAACTGTTGGTGCCATTCCAGTGGTCAGGCAGAAGCACGGCAGCAAGTAATTCTACCTCACAGAAAGGAAACTATGATTTCCTGCATCTTTAAGAACTTCCAGGGAAAAAGAGGAAGGTACTTATTTATGCTAAAAAAGCAAATAAAAACATTTTGTTTTCTTGACTAGAAGTCTACTGGATGGCCCTAATGACAGCATGAACTTTATGGCTTTGTTGATCAGACCCATTGCTTTCAACTGAAACATCCAACGAGGATGAGAAAAGGTAGGTTTCACCTAGACCTGTGAAAAGATGCAATCATTATTCTCTCTCTTTGAGTACCCTGGGTTCTGACTGCTGTAATGAAAAGTGGTAATTCAGATACAACAAACAAAAGACGTGTTTAACTCAGAGCAAAGTAAGGATATGGATGGACGTAACATAGCCCCTGAATTTGCAAACATCATATAACTTCCTAAAACTGCAGCTTAAACTTTGCGAGGCTACCCTTCCCTCTCTCCAGACTCCCCTTGTCAAACCTCCTTTGTGCCTCACCATTTTTACTGCAATTAAATACAAGTATATCAGAGTACAACTTTTCGTCTTACGGAACGAGTTCATGCCAGACCATGTGTCTTACTTTGCCAGATCGAATAAAATCAGACAAGCAAAAAAATCTTAATTTCCATCTTATGGCCAGGTGTAAGGCAGTACTTTCCTTGGTTAATAAATGCTGGGGTTTTTTTTGTTGTTTTGACAAACGCTAGCTGATCTCACCATTACTGTTTCACTTACGGAGAAACGATTTTCCAAGCCTTAAAATTTGCTACCAAATAATTAGTACCAGTGTGAGCCAGAAAACAATTTATCCTTTCCTGACCAAACTCATGAACTGGCTTGTTATGGCATATGTGAAAGAAAAACTGATTTATCAAACCTCCTTGAATCCTTTTCAAGCTACTAACTAGTGGCAGTTTGCATTCTTTGTTGAATGAATATCTGATTCTGCTCTGCCGTAAGTGCCCCAAATGCACCATGGACCAAAAATGAAGCTTGAGGGCAAAGACAAAGTATCCAAGAAAAAAGGTGAGTACATCAAAAGGTAAGTGATAATATAAGCTGTGCCAAGAAACATTGTCTTGGAAATGAAAAAAACAAAAGGCATATGAATGCAGAAGCTAAATTAAATCCAAATGGGAAAAGAAATACTAAAATACTGAGTTTATCGAAATAAAGTCACAGAATGAAACCCACAGAAGCTATACTCTTTGAAAAGACAAACCAGTCTGAAACCAAGAAAGAAGGTAGAAACACAACATTAAAAAAAGTACACATAGATCAGTCATTTCAAAACAGGTATTTTCAGGATAAAGCTAAGAAAATTATCTTATTTTAAGAAAATCTATGTAGACTCAGTCCATTAGGAACAAAAATGGAAACACTTAAAGAGAGCCACAAGATAGGAATAAGATAGCAAAAAGATTTTGCCAATAACTTCCATTGAAGAATATAGACTGAGAAACCTACAACAGGAAGAACACAAAGTGTCATCCCCTGCTTTGCAAGTGACTAGATAAAAGAAGACAAGCAAAAGCATCCTGAAGAACAGAGTCTAGCTCCCAGATCTGGGAAGCAGCTACATTTGGCTACTGTAATGGCAGACAAAATTACATTCCAACATCTGCCCCAGCAGTTCAGGGAGGTTTGCCAGAATCAAGCACAAATTTACAGGTTAGGATGAAAAATCAAAAACTAGGCTGCTGTTACTACCTTTCAAAAACCACCTAATACTAAGTTCAACTGAAGAACTGAGATAGTCAACAGATCAATAAACACATACACTGCCGATGCAAAAAAAAAAAAAAAAAAAAAAAAAATTAATTCAAATAATGTTTTCCATACAACGAGGAGACTATTTGGCAAGATAGTCTTTACTTGACGAAAAAGCACTAGACTCTGACTTCACAACCAGAAGAACTTGTTATGCAGGCTTTAAACACAGTAGGTGGTAATAGGGAACTTCCCTTTAAAATGAACTGTAGAACATACTTAACATTTTAAACACAAATAGAACGGATGCATGTTTTATAGCATGACGATTGTTTTAAATGCTGGCTTATTTACGGTTCTGAATCTAAACAAAGTACATTGCAAGACTATCAAGAGGCGTTTAATATTAAATAGAATATGAAACTGCAGAAATACATGACTGAAAATGGAGAATATCCCAGCACAACTGAACAATTAAATTCCTGTGCTTTCTGCTAGTTGCCACCTGTTGATGACTGGTACCTCTAAGAAGACTTCCTAGCTTGGTGGGTGTTTTAGGGATCATGCAATATGACATCAACCAAGACATTCTGTCCTCATTCAGCCACCGGCAATGGTTGAATGGGACCAGTATCTACCCACCCCTCTCACTTGAATTTACACAGACATAGTTTGCAAAGTGTTCCTGTGACAGCAGCCCCAGAGACCTCACCCTGCTGCCCATGCTGCAGGATGACAACCGGCAGGGGAAGGGTCAGCAGAGAGACAGGAGCAACAGCATCTTAAAGAGCCACAGTCAGGGATAAGAAACTGGTAAGGATCACCACCAGAGTCTTTACATAGTCAGGCCTCAATTATCCATAGGTGGATTATTCACTTTGTTGCCTAACTATGCTGCAGGTGCAGAAGCATTTGAGCTGCTTTCATCTGACCTAACTCAAGTCTAGAATCAGAAAGTTGTATCTGTACCATAATGTACAGAGTGCATTTATTAGTTTGAATAAATACTATTTCAGAGAGCAGCATCCCTGATCTATTTCACCTCAGTATGATCTTGCAGCTTAATTTTACAATATTTTGTGTTATCCATATCCATTATCCCATTTCATTGTTTTCCCAGATAATAGAGAATTAACTGTACCTCATATAAACTCAAAACATGGCTGCACAAGGTTACTCAAGGAACTCAAGAGATGATAAATTAAGAAATGCAGTGATCCTAGGTAAGGAGAAGCAACATTAAAATCCGTAAGTACAGAATATAAAATTAAAACAAGTTATTATACATTTCAAAAAAGTGTCCAAAGGAAAAAAAAAAGGAAAAAAAAAGGAAAAAAAAAAGGATAAGAAAAAAGGTAACTGAAGCAGAGCATGAAGTATGCCTCATCAATGGAGTCATTTAATGCTAGACAAAATTGAAGTGCCTGAAATGGCAATTAAACAAACCAGCCTAACAAAGCTTTTCTATTTCTACGACAAACAAATGTTCAGCTGTGACACTCTGACGTTCCTAGGTGCTGCACTAAGTAAGCATTATAATAAGTAACACACTTAGAGTAAGCTCTAGTTCGCACAAATGGATATCCTCAGTAGAAAAAGGATTGATGATATGCTCTGTTTTTCTCTACCCTCTACTTTTAAGTCTTTTGAAATATGATTCAAACGGATTGTGCCACTGTTCCTAAGGGAGATTAAGATATTCGTGGTTGCTTCTCAGCTATGAGCAGCAAGAGCTACTCTTTTTGTTAGCAGCATACCTCCGTCCTTTGCTTAACCAAGAGAAGAAAACACATCCTACCAGCAAAGAAAACCATATTGTTCCCTGTATCTAACTATAAATGGGGTGGAGGGGGTGGGGGCTTAGCAAAAAAGAAGACAAGGATAACAAATTATCACTTGGACTTCCAAAAAACATGGTTTTTTACTTTCCCTTTTCCATGAAATAATTTTTTTGTTTTCTTAATGTCTTGGCAGTAATCTTAGTAACCTGCACATACATGCGTTTCAAACAATGTCACGTTTATTTTCTTTCAGTTCTTACTAAGTATATGGCATTTAGTTTACTGGAATTCTTACTCTTTTGTTCATATGCTATAAAATGCTACAGAAATAATTCATAATCACACATGCATTTGCCAGTATTTCTCCATTAGCTTCACCAGAATTTTTAGCTGGTACGTGTCCCCCATTTGAGTACATTTGTGAGATCTGCATTTCATTAAATAATACAGAAAATCTGGTTTTGGTACTGTCATAAGCCCTCCCTCAGATATTTCAAGCACCACCCAAGCCCATATCATAAGAATTTCAATGGCTTTACCCAGACACTTACAGGAAATCATAAGGTAATCTTCACAGTTGCCCTTCTCGTCTTGATGTTCCACAGGGATTCCATTGGCATCGATCACTGCCTCTGATGCACAGTCTGCCACCAAGACTTCTTCAGAAACAACATCTGTTCCCAGAGTATCAGTGACAATATCTGCTTCTTCAACATTATCATGAACTACATGTTCTACATGTCCAACTTCAGGTACATGCATTGACTCACTTGTCAGTACATGTTCTGGTATAGACATTGCTTCTGCTGTTATGTCAGAAGCTAAAACATCATCTGGGACAGTGCAATGAGCCAAAGAAACCTCTTCGGCTACGTCTGTGTCCAGCACTTGTTCAGGAATAATGACAGTTTCAGATACGTCTGGCTCCTCCATGATATCTGGGCACTGAACATCCTCGATAACAACATCCTCAATGACATCTTGGATTACTACAGAATCTGGATCATCAGGAACAAAATTATGCACGGTTATATCTGAGTCGACTACATCTGAAACAAATACTGTTTCCTGTACTTCCACAACAATCTGATCTCCATCCATATGTCCTGCATCAGCTCCTGAAAAAATAATTAAAATAGCAGTTAAATTGTAAAACTAACTCAGATGAAGTGGTTAATAATCGAAATTATTTCTATTTTACTTCAACTTTTACACTATGCTGCAATTTAGTAAAACAGGCATAATAGCCTATAAGCAATTATGACAGGCAGGTATATGGGGAGCTGATAAAGCAAGTCCTCAGTAGGTGCTAACATAACTAAGATGAACAACATTTTCTCTCTTGGAAAAGGTTACCAATTTTTAGACTCTCCCCCAATATCCAAACAACTATTACTTGGCAGAACAGTAGCTCATTCATATTGCTCTGAGTAATAAAAACAACCGAAAATCAAAAGCGACTACTCTATACAAAAGCATAGATGCAGCATAGCACTTTCAAGCAAAGACAAAAATCAACGACAGTCAGTAACATCTAATGTGAACACTCTTATCTACATGTTATCTCCTGACAGACCTGTTGGATCAAAAAATGCATTTGGCTCATGTGGCTGCAATTCAAGCCCATCTTCATCCATGGCCTTTAACTCTCATCAGTCACAGTGTCTGTAGAAAGTAAAGAAGAAAGGTTATTTAACTTGTATTACGCTATGAAGGTTGCCTCTGCCCGTGCACTGAAAAGCAGAAATTTTGGGCGCGTGGAAGTTAACAGATAACACCTCTTGACTTTAAGATGGACCCGATTTCACTCAGGGTACCTCTTTTTGGGATTCCAGAAATACTACTCTCTAGAACACCAAACACCCAGGGTCTGAATAAGAGGAGCATGAGCTCCAACACTCCAGGCCCATTTCTCAAAACCCCACAGCTCCACAAACACAGAAGCAGCTGATAAAGGGCTATGAAAATATTATTTCCTTATAATCTTACAAAGAAAAAAAAAATTAAGACAAAGCCTGGACAAGTTCACACTCGAGTCTTTTTTGGATGGTGGGGAATACAGCGTTGTCAAATCAATAAAGCTCGATAAGGTAAGTTAAAGGTAGACAGCTAATAATCTGAAACGCACACTGCTTTCGATGTCCCCTGCGTTCATACTCGGGTAGTCAGGAGGAAGTTACTCTTATGTCACTTCAGGAATTGAAATCATCAATGTAAACTGCTTCCAGAAAATAACACCATATGTTTTCAAACCCCAGATGTGCGAATATTTTAAAAACTCCTGCCTCAAGACAAAGTACCTTTTTGCTTTTGTATTAAAAAATATCACCAGTTCTCAAAAATTACCAAATGTCATATTCTACCAAATTTCTTTGAACAGAATGTCAACATTTCTTCAATGCATAATAACTTAAGATTGCAATCTACTTAACAAAAAAACCAAGCAAGACCACAAAGTTAAAATACTTACTAAAATCTGAAACTGCAATCTAAATTTTGCTGCTTACATATGTGCATTATAATTAGGATCAGGCAAACCTAGTTGGGTAAAATGTGATCTAACATAAACTTGTACTACTCCCTTGCACTTAGTCCAACTTGCACTTCCTAAGTGCAAAACCAGCAAGAGGCAACAGAATGTTGCTACACATTTCTGCTCGTGTTTCCAGAAATACTACTCTCCAGAACACCAAACACCCAGGGTCTGAATAAGAGGAGCATGAGCTCCAACACTCCAGGAAGATGTGGAAGATGCCATTCTCCTTCCTCCAAACATTTTTCACAGTGACAGGCAGAAATCTCCCCAACATACTTTCACAACAGACCTAGAGAAGACATTAAGATTCTGCCCAAGGTTTCCGTAAGAATCATAACCTTTCTGAATTACGTCAACTAACATTTACATTAAGTAAGTCTTCATGGGGGATACTGCTATTGAAAAGAAAAAATTAACAACTATTCCAAAACACAAACCCACAACCATAATCCATAGCAAGTATTTTCTAGACTTCACCATTTTTCTAGCTCAGCTTTTCTCAACTCTTCGCAGCTAACCACCTAATTTATACATGAGAAAATGTATTTTTACAAGTTGAGGGAGAAATATAGCCAGAAACTGAACTGGAGGAAAAGCGACGGCAGTCTAATAATTTTCCAAGGGGTCCCATATTTGTGTGATGTTCAGTTGGAAGGCCCCAACATTTTAGACAGCTGCGTTAACAAATCATTGTGGTGTCCAGCTGGACGTAAATCACCTCACAATTATTCTGTCAAGCATTTCTGTCAGAAGCACCCACTATTAACAGGAACAGGTCATCACACAGATGCTTTTCTTCAGAATCAAGCAGAAGAAAAGCGTTTCTCAGCCTCAGATAAAAGATACAGCTTGACTGATGGCAATCAACTTCTGCCAGGCCACAGAAACAAGGACAGAATAACAAGGTTTCATATAGTCATTTAAGCAGGAATTATCATACCCAAATTGGTGTACTTCTATCTATTCAGTATACACCTAGCCAGTCTATTACAAATGTCTTTCCTATTAATCTTGTCATCTTTTCTGTGTTGTCTTCAGTGTTTAGTTTCTTCTTTTCTGTTGCTGCTTCTCCAACTTCTTGTGTGCCTGTACCTGTATTATGTTCATTACCTCCTCACCTGCTCATTTCATCTCTCCAGCTTATAACTACAGCACACTCTCATCATTCACACAAAGCCATGCTACTCATCAATTTATAGTAAAGATTGTATCAGCAATTCAGAGATTTTGTTTTGGAGGAGGCAGGGGGGATTAGGGGTTGGCAGAAATAAATTGCCACTCTCCTTGGGCAACGCACACATAAGAAGCTAGCACTCGCTGTCCAGTTCTCTGGAAAAAGTCAAGATGCTGTTTCTGCCTGTGCTTTTGAGGATTGTATTACCATACATATTAGCCTCTGATCGGCTGGGACCCAACCAGCTTGAAGCGTCAGTTCACCACCAGCTACTGGAAGAACTGGCGTTCGTTTTCTCCACTTCCTGCTTTCATCACCCACCTGACCACCACTCCACCACAAACTCCTACTTATGATTCATGCAGGTACTTTCTCTATCCTATCCTCTCTCCAAATTCCTCACTGTCTCTATGAGTGAGGCTCTCCTCCATCGTCCTTCTGTCTATCCTCTTCAACCATGAGACCCAGAGGCTGCCACCACTACTTCCCAACTTCCAGAACAAGCCTCTTGACACCATCTCTTCACTGCTGCTCACACTGCTGCCCAGATTCCAGGTGACAGATGCCAAAACCAGCAAGTCTCTGTGGTGTTCACGATGGTGCAGTTTCATAAAGACACTGCCACCAGCAGTGACACAGCCCAGCAGACCTTCAACTGCATACTCTGCGTAACAGTGTGGCCTCTTCTGTATTGGCAAGGTCTTTTCATCTACAGGGGCATAATATGCTGCAAAATAAAGGCTCAGGTTCTACACAAACTGAAGAAGTTTCTTGGGCCCGTGGGTTTTCAAGATCGAGTCTTAGGAAGGCGACAGATTTATGCTTTGGTACTTGTTCCAAAGAAGAAAAAAAACCCTACCCTTTCACTGAACAAGTTTCTTCCTAAATAAGGTTTCCCATAATGCACTTTTGCACCCAGACCCAGCCAACAAATTCATGTACAGGAATTCTTACCCCTGTGCAGGACCATAAAGACTTTAAAAGTGTGCCCCACTAGGGCACAGATCCCATCTCCACAGAAATTTGCTGCAGAAAGAGGACCAGAAGAGGATGCAGGCATTTAAAACAGGATTTAACTAAACTATCTAAAATGATAAAGGTGCCTAAATCAAAATCTGCCGTCCAAAAAGGTGTCAAGGCATTTGTCCATGGATGGGGAAAAAAAAATCCCGCAAAATTTCCTGAAATCTTTTCAGGGTTTGAGCATTCTAACCAGTAGACGAGGAAATACAATGTTTCTTCCCGTTTGCTCTTCTTCTGAGCAGTGGGCCAGCACAGGGACCCAAGGTTCAGCCACACAAAGGAAGGTATAGCTACATGGTTCTGTACCAACCGGCAGCTCCGTGATGAAGGCACTGTTCTGCGACACGAGAAATACCAGAGCTTCTTGTTGCGAACACCACACCGAATACCTTCAAATTCCTTGGCAAGCACCCTAAGTTCTGTGGTACCATAAGGCTAAGAAGCAATTCCAGCAGTTCATTTTTCTGCAAGATTTCAAGAAGGGCAGAAAATCCTCCCAGTTCTTTCAAAATATTCCAGCCAACACTTACCTCAGGAGCAGGTTCTGGCACTGAAGCAGACAGAATCAATTTCCAGTTCCGGCTCGGGAACCTAAACTCTCAAAGAGAAGCAGGTGCCCAACCATTTCCCTAAACCTAGTCCTTCACAACATCCAAATCTATGTGGTTCTTTGTTCAAACCTCAGTAATTCGGGAACTCTTCTTCTACCACTACAATAGAAAAAGCCTAGGCACTTAAAACCAGGTTTTATACCTCTGAAAAGAACTAAACATCTACATCTTCTACTTGGCTCGGGTCTATGTCAGCTTCACATGGATCGAGAATTAATACAACTCTGAAATACACCTAATTCCATTTGTAAAGTTAGTTCTTACAAATTGATTTTTATCTATTTATTCAGAGACTTTGCTGGTTTTGGTTTTATGAAAGTCAAGGCAATATTTTCAAGCGGAAGGACAGAAAGAAAGTGATATATTAATGGAACAAATGGTATTAAGCTATTAGCAATTAAAAAACCTCCCAAAATAAAAACGGGTATTTTCCATAAATCTGATCTTGAGTACAATCAGTCAAGAGAAGCAACGCAGACATTGCACTAGTCTTGCCACATTACTTGACTCAATAGGCCTAGCAAGGTAATCAAGATGAAATAAATAGACGAGCTGTCACATTTTAAAGAGAAAGCAACTTTAAAAATAGTTCCTTAGAAGAAAGAGCTTTAATATGCCACAGAAACCGTCAGTTTCTCTGCTCTTGCCAAAAAAAAAGGAAAATGGGAAAAAAGGAAAAAGAGAAAAAGGGGAAACCTCAGAAGAGCCATCCTTATGAAATACATAAGAGAGTCCTTTGCCTACTCCTAAGGAAAGAACAGTACATCTGTTTATTTGGGGTCGGGGCATAAACCAAATACCCGTGCAGCAAAACTCTGACCCTTCCCAGAAAAAAAAAAAAGGCATAAACAGCAGAATTCCCCACGTTCAAGCCCCAGCCCCTACGTACACTGAGATGACTTAGTGTACAACTATAACAAAGTTCCCATTGCAGCACACCTTGCATGTCCCAATTGGGTTAGAGCCCCGAGCTACCCGAAGCTTCCCTGTGGTTATGAGACGACTGTGAGTTCAGTCTACACTATTGCTGCAGCGTCACAACTCTCCCTACGTGACCCACTTATGGAGAATGCGATGTACACACAAGCTCTTAATCACACACACATGAAAGGTAAAAAAATTATACTCCTATAGCACCTAATTCTTATCTTGGAAATAAGCCCCACGATTGTTAGGTGACTAAATGGAAGAATAAAAACAATGTTACAAATGTGACAGTGTAATCATTCAGCTGTTTATTTCTTGATGCATCTCCCTCAGTTTTGGCAGAATCAGTACTGCTGTTTTCATTGCGATTTCGTAAAAAATCTCAAGTCTTTTCCT